TAAAACATCTGGCTCAGGTAGAACCAGGGTGACATCTGGCATTTGGAGGATGGTGGCAGGGATTTGTGGCTCCAGGGAGATGTTCCTTCCTCCTGCTCTGCTGGCAGAGACCTGTAGCTCAGGTTTAAGGTCAGAGGACAATCCTTTCCTTGTGACCACCAGAATGGCAATGCCAGCCTAATCTCCAAGGGGAGTCAGAGCTGCATCTCCTGTTGCTCCCAGGACTGTGAGCAGGCCAGAGCAGCTGGCCATCCCTTCTCCCCAACTCTGGATAAACTTCTGATTTTAGCTGGGAGTGACCTTGGACAGATTGAGGGAGGACGAAGCCCTGGAGGAAGGAGGTCTGGAAGCAGCCTAGGAAAGGAGAACCCATGGCAGGTCACAGCCTGAAGTGGTGGGCAATGTCATGGGGAAGGGTGCAGCACCAGCCCTGGGAGAGCAGAACAAGGAAATTCAGTCATTTAGAGACTTTCCAAGCCAGGGGTGGTGTTGTAACACCTGGCTCAGCCCCCTGAGGGATCAATCCTCCAGAAACAGCGCCAGCCCTCTGCCTGCAACCCAACACAGCTTCTTTGGGGCAGCCATGAGCCCTGAGTGACTAAGGAAAATGCTTCCCTTGATCCCTGTTATCCCTGTGGGGTTTTCCTGGCTGCTGGCAGAGATGGAATGCTGCCCTGAGTAGCCAGTGGTGACGGACAGGACTTTCCTTGGGCTGATTTCTTGTAGGCTCTGTCTCTGCTTCCCACCAGGAACACATCTGTGCTCCCTGCTACCCTCACAGCCTGACTGTGACACACAGACACAGCTTCTCCTTGGTGAGGGGTGCTCAGGGATGGCCACAAATGCTTTTCAGAGCCAGCCTGGAGCTTCACCAACCTCAGGGATGCTCTGAACCAAGACTCCTCGGAAAAGCAAGCTTGGGAATTCTCCCTGGGCTCTGGGCTACAGAGAGGCCTGGCCAGGGAGGGGGCCCTGGTCATTGTTCCCTTTGGTGGAGCAGCTCAGAGACCAGAGCTCAGCCTGGCAGGACATTGATGCCCTTGTTTGCTCTGCAGTGTTTGCCAGGGAATATTTACCCTGCTGTGTGTGGGTGGAGGTAAAACAGAGCAAGGTGAGGGCTCCTCAGTGCCTCCCTTCTCCGGCAGCTTCGGTTTGCAGTGCCAGCAAGGCAAGCTCCAGGCAGCCTGTCCTGCACAGAGCAGGTGGAGACACTTGGACCCTCCTTTTACCCCTTGGGAGAGATCCTGAGCTCCTGGAATGTGGCAGTGTGCATAGGGATGGGCTGTTCCTGCCAGTGCTGCTCTGCTCCAGACAAGAGCCCAGCCTGGGATGGCTTTGAAATAAAATCCCAACAAGTTGTTGCGGGACAACAACTTTAAATTGAAGGAAGGTGGATTTAGATTAGGTATTAGGAAGAAATTCTTGTCTGTGAAGAAGCTGTGGCTGCCTCTGGATCCCAAGAAGTGTCCAAAGCCAGGCTGGATGGGGCCTGGATCAACCTGGGCTAGTGGAAGGTGTCCCTGCCCATGGCAGGGGTTTGGATCAAGATTAATTTTAAAGTTCCTTCCATCCCGAAGCATTCTGTGATTCTGTGGCTCTGTGACAGGACTCTGATGCTGCTTTGCTCTTGTTTTACCCCAGCTGCCCAAGCCCACCTCACAGCTCAGGGTCCAGCTGCAGAGTGTGTGCCACGCTGAATCTTTTATTAGACATGAGGAAATCCACACTGCTGGGGGTGCCTTGGTTCTGAGGAGAGCTGGAGCTCACACCTTACCAGACAGACAGCAGGGAAACCACGCAGTGCTGCAGCTCCCCACAGCCCTACCCTCTCACTGGTTTTCCTTTGCTCTCCCTCCCTCTCCCACCTCTCTCCCCTCAGCTGATTTTTCCATGCCTGTCTCCCCTGCTGGCGCTGGCTCCAGGTTTCCAGATGCACTTCCCACTTTGCCAAGATGTCCCAGTGCACAGCTCTTGCCCAGAGAGGTGTTACACAGCAGCCACGGGCTATTTCTACATCTGCAAGGTGAAGAACTGAGAAATGCCACAAAAACCTTCTCTCCAAAGCCTCAAACCACTTGTAAACAGGGTGTTAATGACAACAAACTCGGCACAAGACCAGACATTACCCACAGAGATGAAATTTCAGACAGAATGATGGGGATGCAGGAACAGGACCAAGGCTGTGGAGGAAAGCAAAGATCAATAATGGAGAACTGAATCTTTCAGTGTGAGGGTTGGAAAGACCATTCCAGTGCCACCCAGGGAAGAAATGAAAGGATTATCTTGCATATTATGCAGGACACACATCACTTGATAATCATTTAAACCCTTGTCTGGGCCATCCAGGGGTTCAAGCTCTGTCTGTGGCAGGAATTGACTCAAATCTTGTAAAATACCTCTGCACAGCCCAGCAAGTTCTTCTTGGGTAGGTTGAATTTGAGAGCCTGAATCACCTTTATCACCTTTCTGCTGCTCCAAATTTCCCCTGTGAGCCTCTGGCTGGAGCTCACCCATGTGGACAGACACCTCTTGGGCTGTCAGGTTGGGGATGAGAGGGTTCTTTCTGATGGCACTGGAGGCATCCTGGGCTGGAGGTCACAGGGGACAGCACCCCACTGCTCACCTGGGATTGGACTGCATGTCCACGCTCAGGAGGGCAGGTCCTTTTCTGTCCAGCTGTGGTGGAGGAGCTGCAGGGCCCATTTCCCAGCGGTTTTGGTGGGTGTTTTGTGAAATTGTGGGTGTTTTGTAAAACCATCCTCAGGGAGCTCGTGTTCTCCCTCCATGCTCTGGAGAGGCTCAGCTGGGTGGCACAGCCCCAGCCTGCTCCCCCAAGGCAAGGGAAGAGTTTCCAGGGGCTTCATGGAGGAGATTATGGAGCCAGGTCTGCCCCAGGGAGCAAATCTAATGTGTTTGTTCAGCAGGAACAAAAAGAACCGTGGTGTGCAGTGCAGAGGAAGCTCAGCTCACAGCCTCTTGTTATGTTCACCCTGGGCTTGGCCACGTGCTGCAACTGGCCATAAAAATATCCATTTCCTTTCTAATTTGAGCTACAACACTTGACACTTTGGCCTTGGGCGATAATGCAATGTACAAGTGCTCAGCAGACACCCCGCAGCCCTTCTTCCTGCTTTGCTCCAGCACAAATAGTCCACAGTTTTCACTTCAATAAAATATTAACAGCCAAGGAGTCAAATAGCTTTCATCTGTATTTATTTCCTGACTATCATCTCGTTAACAGGAATCTGCTGGTTCTGCATGGAGTTCCTGGGATCTGCGAGAGACCAAACTGGAATTTAAGCAAGGGGAAAGAGATTTCCTTCAACTCCAGTGAAGATATTGAATAAATGGCTTTTTTCCCCTGTGGTTTAAAATGGGCTTTGTGTAATTATAGCACATGTCACTTGTCTCTTGGGAACCACGAAGGAACTGGACCGAGCCTGATTAATCTGAAATTATTTCTAGGACTTACTAGCCTTGAGTTCACAGGGTTCAGATGGTGAAGATGGAGATCTTTTCCACAGCCCAAGATTTTCCATCCAGCTCCAAGGCAATCCTAGAGGGGTGCAGGTCTCCCATAGACCACCATCCACCATCCCTATGGAAAAATTCTGGACACTTTAGGTTTTCTGTACTAGATCTAGCATTTCTGAGACTGGGTCATCTCAGCCAGTTCCCTCTTCCTCAGTCTGGGAGATCATTTATTGTTATTAAATCCTCCTTTCCCCCTCAGGGGGACAACTCCTTTTTCTCCCAGGCCCTTGTGCAGCAGTGGCATGAACAGGTAATTCCGTGCCGTGTCTTGGGCTTGGCTGGGTGTTTTTTCTGATTCACATGGTGTAGTATCATGGGATGGTTTAGGTTGGAAGGGATCCTAAGGATCATCTCACTCCCACCCCCTGCCATGGGCAGGGACACCTTCCACTAGCCCAGGTTGCTCCGAGCCCCGTCCCATCCAGCCTTGGACACTTCCAGGGATCCAGGGGCAGCCCCAGCTTCTCTGGGCACCCTGTGCCTGTGTTTTACACCCTCATTCTAAAAAAAATATCTTCCTTATATCTGCTCTAAATCTACCCTATTTTAGTTTGAAAACATCGCCTCTTATCCCATCACAACAGATCCTGATCAAAAGTCTGCCCCCATCTTTCTTACAAACCCAATTTAAGGTCTACTGGAGATTTCTCTTTTCATCTGGGCTGTTTCTTTCCCATGGCAATCCCTTTTCCACAGTGAAATGCACCCTCTACAGCTGGACTCAAAATCTACTTCATGGAGGAGAAAACAGCAGATGAAACACCCCGGAGAGATGGTTCTGGAATGTTCTCCCGTGCCCCAGCCTGGAGCTCACTCCTGTGGTGCTCACACACCTCCCGTGTGCCATCTGTGCCCTTTGTCTTTGCCCTCCACTCCTCAGCCCGGCGAAACTCCTGACTGGAGCCTGAAGCCTCTTGTGGGCATTCCCCCGGGCTGGAGCTTCACCAGAAACCAGGGAAATGTCATTTGAGCCCTCCCGGCGCTGGGTGCGGAGCGGGACCTGCCGGGCTCTTGCACCGCGAGCTTGCTCAGCCGAGCGAGGAAGGGTTTTATTTCCGAACTATTTTTTTTACATGAGTTTTTACTCCCCAAGAGCCGTCCAGATTGGCTGGGAAGGAGGGACATCTCGTGGCCACACCACGAACACCTCTCCTGCTCCTCGGGCATCCCCTCATTTCCTCCCCGGGTACCACCCCAGCATCATCCCCGGCCTCTCCCTCCTCCTCCTCCTCCTCCGGGTGGCCACGGGGAGGACAGGGGCTCGCTCACACCCTGTCGCCTCAATAAAGGAATGGGAAATCCTCGCATCCAGTTTTTTATTGCTGACTTGAGGCAGAGCGGGGGCACTACCTGGCAGGAGCTCTCCAGAGCTGGTGCGGCTCAAGGAGGTGCGGACGGGACACGCTCCCAGCGCCTCCCGTGGCCCGGAGCGGGTGGAGGATGGCCAGCAGGGCCATCAGAGCGGGGCAGAGGTTCCTCACCCCCAACAGCAGCACCCTGGCCACGGCCCCCTCTCCCCGGAGCTGCAGTTGCGGGGCTGAGAGGTTTTTCTCTATGCAGGTGGATCGCGAAGGAGTCTTCTGTCCTTCGTCCCGGAGGTGATGCCTGCCAGGTGGGTACAGCCCTCCGGGGCGCTCGGAGACAGCTGTGACATCTCTCAGCCACCTCTTCAGTCTCTGCGACATCCACCGAGCCGGCAGCATCCTCCTCCCTCGTGTCCCTCCTCACTCCCCATCCCCACGCACGGCCGGGAGAAAGGGAAGCGCGCTGGTGGCGGTCCCGCAGCGCTGTCCCCGGGAGCTGGCGGGGCCGTGGCTCACTGCTGCGGCTCGGGCTCGTACTGCTTCTCCGTGGAGGTGTAGAAGTCCTCGAGCACCGACTGCAGGTACTCGAAGGTGGGGCGCTCCTCGGGGTTGCTGCGCCAGCACTTGAGGATGATGCTGTAGAGCTCGCCGGGACACGCCTCGGGGCAGGGCATGCGGTACCCCCGCTCCAGGTTGCGAATCACCTCGGGGTTGGTCATCCCTGGAGGGGAACACAGCCCAGCAGGAGTTATCCGGCAGCCAGAGGGGGAAGGTCAGCGCTGCCAGCAGCTCCCACCCGGGCAGGGCTGGAGGCGCTGCGGTGGTTCCTGTATCTGGGAATTGTCCCTTCCTCAGGGTCCTGCTTCCCCTCCGTCCCTCTGTCCTCTCCATGGTTCCCCTCTCTAGGTTTGGCTTTGCAGGGTAGAACCGAGGGAAGGAAAGCCAGCTTGAAGGACCTTTTGTGACAAGAGGGGCATTGAGGAGCTGGAGCATATCCAGGGCAGGGAACGGAGCTGGGGAAGGGGCTGGAGCCCCAGGAGAGGCTGAGGGAGCTGGGAAAGGGGCTCAGCCTGGAGAAAAGGAGGCTCAGGGGGGCCCTTCTGGCTCTGCACAACTCCCTGACAGGAGGGGACAGCCGGGGGGGTCGGGCTCTGCTCTCTGATAAGAGGAAATGGCCTCAAGTTGTACCAAGGGACATTTTGATCAGATATTAAAAACAATTCCTTGATGGGAAGGGCTGTCCAGCCTTGGCACAGCTGCCCAGGGCAGTGCTGGAGTCCCCGTCCCTGAAGGGATTTGCCAGATGTGTAAATGTGGCAGTTGGGGACATGGGGCAGTGGTGGCCTTGGCAGCGCTGGGTTAATCCAATTTAGGGGCCTTTTGCAACTTTAACAATTCTGTGATTCCAGGAGACAGCTGTGTGTGTCTGGGCACACTTCAGTGAGCACCTCGGGATGAGCCAGGAGCAACACGGGATCCTTGGAAGTGCCTGGACACTCATCCCGTATTCCCAGCACCCGGTACCTGGACAGGGGATCCTGTACCTGGATAAGGGA